TTCTTTTCTGTAAGACATATGATTTCTTCATGACTCTTGTCGGAAAATATAAGCTGTGATCTGTATTCAGGTGGAAAAATACTCTGTTTCAGATCGAAACTGGTTCTACATTGTTACATTGGCCATAGTCATCCTTATGAACCTTTGTAATGGAGTCTACCAAAATTCCGTTTATGGAGTTGTGGCTGATTTCCCGGACAACTATCCGAATTCTCTTATCATCGGAAATAATCTATGCGGGATTTTCACAAGTGTGATGAGCATATTTACAACTCTCGGTACGGATTAACTGGCACTATTATCCCCTTACTGCCCAATCTCCCAATATTAGGCGTTTTTCACCGAGTTTTTTTTTCAGAAGACAGATTTGGCTGGAAATTTGTTCCCGCTGTAGTTCGGTCACTGAATCCCAATGATCGCATTCGCTTTCTATGGCTGGCGTGTGCGTTGTAAGTGACAGCGTCACATTCCTTTTTTGACCCTGTCGCACGTAAAGTGGACATCAGATTTCTCATGCCAAGCAGTGTTCTAGAGCAGTAAGGAGACATGGCGGGACGAGCTGCATCACTCCTGGGTGCTTGTGGTGCTGATTACCCGTTTTTCGGAGAGGAGACGAGCAAATACAGCATGCGCCGTCACGTTTACCCTCTTCTCGCCTAGGCAAATGGAGACAGTTTGGCTTCTATCTATAACGATAGCAAGGGTGCTATTACTACAGTAGGGTACACGAGAAAGCGAAAGGACACCGTCGAGAACCTGCAAAAAACCTTTCTTCTTCACCACTCAGGAAGGATTTTCAGACTACTACCCGGTTGGCGTCGTGCCAATCAGCGCTACGGTAGACACTACTGCATGTAGGTCCTGGTAAGTCTATGCAGCACCGCAGAGCTTCGAGGGACAGGAAAGAGTGTTACCGAAACGCGCTAGCCCTTATCGTATCTGACTGAGGTTCTTCATGCTTTTATGTTTCCAGCACAATCTATGGTGTAGAAAATGGCCAAAAACATGTGAATTATGTGCAGAAATACGAGAAATCAAAAAATATGCAACTATTCGCACGATTTCCATTGTTTCAATCAAGTATTGCAAGCAATATTCGGATCTCCCGCGCCCATCGTTACGTGACGCCCACATTGGAAAATATCCCGCCGTCATCCTCAAACGGTTTGTCGCACGAGACGGCGCGGCAAATTACGATTCTCTCGCCGTCTCCAGTGAGCGGGCGGGCATGGTAGGCGTCCGGGTCGGTACGTTCTAGCTTTGTGGGGCGCTTTCAGAGTATCTTTCTCGGAAAAGGGGCTGCTTAGCGCATGCCCAGAGGCAAAGGATCCTATCCTGCTAGGCGTATCAAT